TTCCATGTCTCTAATTTACTTCGTTTTCCACGTCTCTAATTTACTTCGTTTACCATGTCTCTAATTTACTATGTTTTCCATGTCTCTAATTTACTTCGTTTCCCATGTCTCTAATTTACTATGTTTTCCATGTCTTTAATTTACTTCGTTTTCCATGTCTCTAATTTACTATGTTTTCCATGTCTCTTATTTACTTCGTTTTCCATGTCTCTAATTTACTTTGTTTTCCATGTCTCTAATTTACTTCGTTTTCCATGTCTCTAATCTACTATGTTTTCCGTGTCTCTAATTTACTTCGTTTCCCATGTCTCTAATTTACTATGTTTTCCATGTCTCTAATTTACTTCGTTTCCCATGTCTCTAATTTGCTATGTTTTCCATGTCTCGAATTTACTACGTTTTCCATGTCTCTAATTTACTACGTTTTTCCAACGTTCGCTTTTCCTTAACATATGAACAGGGTTCTGTTTTCGCCTATGTCATGAGCGCGTACGTCTATGCTCTCAGTAAGTTATCCGTTGGATTTGGTATGAAGTTAAGTCATTCTCACCGCATACCCGCATCAAAGAATTTTGTATTTAAACGTTTTCGAATGGATTGTACGTCACCATTGCAGGTTAGTGTATGCTCCTATGACCAGCAGTTACCTCGCTGGTCTTGGTGAGACCGCTTGTGTACCATACAAGACCTGTATATACGTATTACGTATATCATGATATATACCTACATATTACCTGTATATACGTATTACGTATATCATGATATATACCTTCATATTACCTGTATATACGTATTACGTATATCATGATATGTACCTACATATTACCTGTATATACGTATTACGTATATCATGATATATACTTACATATGATACGCTGAGTTCACGTACCTGCTGCATGCATAGACACTCGTGCGTGCGTGCTACTTGTAATCAACCAATACTTCAACCACGTGGATCGACCAGCGCGGCAACGTTGGCCCTGTAAATAGTACTGTCCGTCTGTTTCATACGCGTATGCGCTTGCTGAGATGTGTTCTGGTGAGACCCATATACCTTTGGACTGTACCATAGAACTACCCAACGTCTCGGTGGCTTTGGACTGTACCATAGAACTACCTACCGTCTCGGTGGCTTTGGACTGTACCATAGAACTACCTACCGTCTCGGTGGCTTTGCACAGTGGTGTCTCGGTGTAGGTGTACGTCTCAGTTAGGGCTGTGCTGCATACTGCGCGTAAGGCAACTCGCGCGTGTCAGATAAATGGGTCATACGCTCAGTACAGAACATCTGGTGGTCTGGTGGTTGCATTCACATACCTCGGCTGACCAGTGCACGTACTCATTTTTTGGATCTTGTCTTAAAATATATGTCTATATGACGTCCTGTAGGTAGAATGTGCGATCTTTAAACATACAGTTGTAGTATGAAGTAGAATGGTAATGATCTTTCAAAGTACAGTTGTAGTATTAAGTAGAATAGTAATCATCTTTAAACGTACGGTTGTAGTATGAAATAGATAGTATTGATCTTTAAGCGTACAGTTGTAGTATGAAATAGATGGTTTGATCTGTAAACGTACTGTTGTAGTATAAAATATGTAGTTTTGATCGTTAAACGTACAGTTGTAGTATATATAAAATGGTTTTAATCTGTACACGTACAGTTGTAGTATGAAGTACAAGGGTATTGATCTTTAAACGTACGGTTGTAGTATGAAATAGATGATATTGATCTTTAAACGTACAGTTGTAGTACTAAGTAGATGATATTCCTATCGAGTGCCGGGGTGTGTGGGCATTGGCCCCTGACCTTCAGACGACAATCCATCTACCTTTCACATTCGAACTCTGAAGCCAGTCCAATACAAATGTATTGTTCTGGCCTTTCTCAACTATGTCTGCTCTATGATATATATCAAGAAAGATTTGAAGCATATTTATTTATTTTGTGTACTACCATCTTTCTCCTCGTCCATGTTTCTTCCACTGTATTCTTCAACATTCAAAGTACGTTTAATTGTTTTACGTAAATTCCCCTATTCACACTTGCACATGTATTTCGTTTGTTTCTTCAGATGTCACTGCAGTGTACTTCGCTGTAATGACACGCCGCGTGCCGTTGTACTTCAGAGAGTCACTGGTATGCGCATACTTAGTATGTAGTGCAATCCCACGCACGTGATTGATATCACGTACACTAACAGATATA